TGCTCCTCATGTTGCTGCACCTGCTGCCGCTGACTCTGGGACCTCAATCCATGTCGTGTGCCCGGAACATATGGTGTGATTTCCTCCCTCCTCGTCCACGATCTGTCAGAGTCTGACCGATCGTCCACCCACTCGTCATGTGGAATCTCGTACTCGCTGTCCACATCGTCATCGTCCTCCTCCTCCTGCATGTCACCCCACTCCATACCCTCCACCTCTCCTCGCCTCGGCATGCCTGCTGATGTCCCGACCGCAACAGGATCATTGCGAATGGTGGTGCTACCTGCACCTAATGGAGCAGCCTCATGACCGAGCTCACCGTCGTTGACAGCGTCAGTCAAACCCGCCTGATCACCCTCCAAATCATCGTCAGCCCAGTGTGCTGCTAGCCCCAACCATTCTCCTACCACCGTTGGGCCGTCATCGCCCCTGCTCTTGAGCCTGAGGCTCCAGTGCGAGTACACCAACTTCTCGGTGCGCTGGTGGTGCAGCTTGTTCTTGGACTTCGTTTGCACAAGAGACCAAGTGCTCCAATTCCTCTCTGCTGGAGAGGATGTCGTCCAAATGGAGAGCACCTTCACCGCCAGAGCCTTGATCTCTGGATGGCCATCCCCGTGCGCCTCCCACCACAGCACCGCATTGTCCTTCTTCGCCCTCTGCACCGCCCATGTGGTGCCGAACGCTCCTCTCGCCATCTGGAAGTCATACAATTGGTCCAAGCAGTCGTCAAACGTCTTGCTCCCTCTCTTGCCGATGAGGGGCTCCACAATAGCCTCAAACTGCGTCATGAGCTCGACATTGCTGAAAACAGCAATGTCCCTCAACACTGGATCCAGCAACAGGGCCACGGCGTGGATCGGGCTGAGCAGCATATCTGTCATATTCTTCACGTCCACTAGGACATCATCTCGCTCCTTGTCACCGAGGGGGGCCGAACGGACGAAGACAGGCAATTGACAGGCCAGGTCGTAGATCCGAGACAAGCAGTGGACATCCTTGTCCACCTCTCGTAGGACTTTATAAGGGCCCTTCATGAGGGTGGTCAACTTCTTGACATCAGCCCAGAAGGCCCTGTCAAGAACAGTCTCCTCCACAAATAACGCCTTCCCCCTGATATCCCCCCTCCACACCATCCTCTCCCAGGCGAGTCCATTCATGATGCGTATGATGGCCCTGACACAGACCTCCAGTCGCTGCAGCATCACGTAGTTTGTCCCAAACCTCGTCTGAGCTGGGCGAAGTAGGCAGGTGCATTTAAGGTCAGGGTACTGCAACAACTGCGTCCGCAGCTGCGATCGTGGCCACCTATGCACTCTGAAGAAGGTGACCACCTTGTTGGCCTTCTCGATGATGGTCGCCGACCACTCCTTCTTGCAGATGTCGTGCATGAGCAGGTCCATGCAGTGTGCCGTGCAAGGGATCCAGTAGATTTGCACGAATTCAGGATCCTCCCTCAACATCCGGGCAGCGCTTTTATTCCCTGCGAAGGAGTCTGTGCAGATCGCAATCACCTTCTCTACTCCCCACTCCCTGAAGAACCTCTTCCACCCAGCGACGATGGCAGTTGCATCCTTCTCCCCCTCGCTCACATCCTCGCATTTGATGAAAACGGGTTTCGACCGCCCGGTGAGGATGTAGTTCATAAGCGATCGCCCACAGATGTCTGTGGTGCCATCGGTTATGAACGTGCAGCCTGTCACCTCCCTGTCGTCCCAGACCGCCTTCTCCTCAGCCTCCAACCTCCCGCGCAACCGATCAAGCAACCTGCATCCTGGTGGGTTGTACCCAGTGGGTACAAGAGGGCAGCTGGCCGCAGGTTGCGGCCCATAACACGTTAGCTGAAACTTCTTGAAGCTCTTGCTTTTCGCGACGTTGAACGGGATGGCGTTCTCGACGAAGAACTCACAGCAGGTATCATCGATGTCTGCCTGTCTGGGGTTCTTCGCGTATCTGACGATGCTCGTCTGTCTAGCCGCCCCCCGTCTGCGGGCAGCCTGCTCCGCAGTCTGCGACAATGCAGGTCTCCGGACCGGAGTCTCTCCATCGGCCACAACCCCTCTTGTTACCTCATCCACCCCGCTGCCAGCCTCCCCATGAACCGCCTCCCCTGCCTCCCCATCCATCGCAACCCCTCCCCCTCGCCCCACCGCGTCGTCCTCCAGCAGAGGACCATCATCGTCATCGCTAGCAGTCTCCTCTATTGCACGCTGCACCCTCTCCAAAAGATCTGGCGGCATCTCAAAACCAATCCTGTGCAACCTCCTCCAAATCGCCATCGTTGCATTTGGACACCGGGCGGAGGCCCTCTTCAAACAAAAGTGCTTCATCGCCCGTTTCTATGTCCCTGTGAATTCCTTGTTGCACAGCTTGCAGCGCAGCCTCCTTGATCCACGAGAGTTCCCTGGCAGCAACTGACCGGCAGTCACCCACGTCCACACCACGTGATCCCGCCGGTGGTTGAGGTCCTCCCGGAAGGGGTCCCGCCCCACATCCGCCCTCCCTGCCCCATCAGCGTTGTTGCTGGCCATAGCGCTGCCGGCGTTGAAGCAGCAAACCTCGACCGGATGCTGATGTGGCAGATGCTGCGATGGCCAGTCCTGATGTGGTAGCTGCTGACGAGGCATGTGCGATGCGGAAGGATGCCGACTGTTCAGCTACACTCCCCGGTGCTGCTTGCCACGTGCCGGGAAGACGACGTTCCAGTTCTGCTCCAGCAGAACGACAGAACAAGAAGACGACGACATGCCACGTCAGCGAAACGGGGGACAAGAAGAATAAGACAAAGTTCAGAAAAAATATGGAAAAAAAAAAAAAAAAAAAAGAGGACGAAGGGGAGAAACAGGAAGCAGATAGGGCGGGGAAGGAGGGGGGGGAAGAAGAAAGGACGAGAAGGAGGATTAAGAAGAAAAACAAAGAGCAGGGGGAAGAACAAGATGCCGAGGTGGAGGAGGAGGAGGAGGAGGAGGAAGAGGAGGACGAGAAAGATGGAGGGGGAGGAGGAGGACGAGTACAAGGCGCAGGAGGAGGAGAGAATGAGGAGGAGGAGGAGAGAATGAGGAGGAGGAGAGAATGAGGAGGAGGAGGAGAGAATGAGGAGGAGGAGGAGGAGGAGGAGGAGGAGAGAATGAGGAGGAGGAAGAAGAAGAGAAGGAGGACGTGGATATGGCGGAGGAGGAGGGAGAAGAAGACTGGGAGGAGGAGGAGGAACAGGAGGAGAAAGGATGAGAAAGGAGGAGGACGAAG